AGATGAACCTCTTCCATAACTATCTTTTGTGACTCTCTCTCACCTAGTCACTATGGAAGGCAATACTGGCAACCCTCAAGTTTTGCAGCTCAGTGTTAAGAATCCCTCATGCAAAAGGAGTCTACTTAAACATTCTCTGGTAATATGGTGGGTACTGCACTGGCTTGCCTCTCCAGGTATAGCCTTCCATGAGGAAGTCACTCTCAGAGCCAAACCCGGCAATGTTTCTGTAGTTTACAGTAGCTATGAGCCTTTCTTGGTGCTAGTGCTGCTGGGAGGATATGTTATTTCTTCTAAAAGCTGTTGACTCTCCAGGCTCACCTTATTTCCCATGGCATTAGCTTTGGCCACAATCATGTTGGGTCATTGGTCAGACCCACTGCTGCCCGATGCTGAGAGCAAACCAATAACAGAGAGGGCTTGTGTTGTAGAGATGAACAGAAGTTTTTTCCTGCATGGAGGCAGGTTCTTCCATCCTTGTGGAGTCCAGGGCAGTTTCTTCCATTCATTGGGCTTCAGGGGTCTATTTAGCTTGTTCTTATCTCGATCTCCATGTGGTTTCATGGTGCAGTTCATTACTCTCCTGGGCTGTGGGTGTATGTGACCAGTAAACTTCTGCTAATCTGATCTATCCAGTGTTCAGTGTCATGTATTTGGCTATTGCCATCATCCTAGGTCAGAAATCCCACTTTCACTAGTGGAGAATAAGAAAATATCAACATAACATGGTAATACTTAATATTCATTTCCTTTGCCATGGGCCATGTAATATGATTTTTAAAGAAATTAAAATGTTTTCATAAGTCTTAAAATATACCATGCATCTAGACACTGATTCTGTGTTGTCCATTCAAGAAGTCAGCTTTGGTACAGTGTAAAACTCTTTGGTTGGAGAATGTTGTGTAATTCTTTTGTCAACTATGAGCTCTTTCATATAACATGTTTTCTAAAAGTGATGAAAATAAAAATTTGCCCCTTACATTTTATTAAAATATTTTTTTCTAAATTTAGACTTTTCCCCTCATTATACCTAATACAATCAGGTTAATAATCACTCTTAAAAAGTCATATGGGTTCTTTTAAGAAATATGCTTAGACAGACTCTAAACACTGAGTCGGATGGACACAGATAACATTTTAATTATTGGTAAGCTATAAAATAAAGCATTAAAGGAGTATAATAAGTCACGTTTTGTCAGTGATTTCAAACTATGCTAAAAAAATCTGTAAGGTTTCTTTTCAGGATGTGTTAGAGGCTTCTGGAAACCCCCAGTTTTGAAGATATGTATAGGGTGTTTGAAATCACTTTCTGCTTGGGGGCCAGAGCATTAACTCGGTTGTTTAAGTGACTGCTTAACCAAAGCAATCAGGATGCTGTGCTTCAATCCCCAGATCCTCAAGACTTACCAGACCTGTCCTGAAGGAACCCTGAGCCAGCAGAAAAAAAAATTCTCTGAACACTTTCCATGGTATCATCAAGTTTAACATACCCACTACAGAACATAGGATATCACTATTAAAGAAAAACTTGTTATGTGTTTTCCTTCATGTAACTGTCAAGAATTAGTTGCTTTACATTTTGTAAAGAATAATATAATTGTCTAATTTTTAAGAAACTTTATGTACCACTACGTCTTAAAGTTTTTTACTAAAATTTCTTCTCATGATCTATTAGTCAGCATTTCTTTGCTGTAGCCATGGTCCTAGGACAAATAAAAATGATTTATTATAGTTTATAATTTTAGCATTTTCAGTTCCCTGTGGCCTTGTTTCATTGCTGTGGGCTTGAAGCATTGAAGAATATCACAGTAGAAGAGAATGATGGAGGAATTCCTTCACTTCATTGCAGCTAGGGATCAATGGAAGGTGACAAGGACCAAATATAGTGTCCAAGGCCATGCCTCATGACCCATACCATTCAATTAGGATTCACCTCAGGTTCCTAGCATGTTCTAATAATTCCACTGAATTGTTATCCTATCAATGTATTATTACACTCATCAAGTGGGAAGCCTCATCATTCAATCACTACTCTAAAGCCCATCATCAAATAAAATGTCAACACATCAAGCTTTTTGGGCACAAATCACAACAAAGGATTGCATGTCATAATAAAAAATTTCACAGGTAATAAACTATACAATGATAAAAAGCTCAGGTGCAATTTATAATATAAGAGTAAAACAATGTTAATGTAACTAAGGTCATATGTTTTTATCTGGTGTGTTCATAGAATTGCATATATATATATATATATATATATATACCTTAGAACTATAAATTTCTTGTATGATCTTCACTTAAAATGACTAATTACAATATTTATAACCCTAATTATCTCATTTGGTCCTTCAAAAATGTTGATTGTTTAAAATTCATGTTAATTTTCTAATGAACTTGTGAAAATGATGATTGTGAATCCTGATATTACTGTAAACTAAAGGTCTGTAAACATTACAAAAGGCTGTCACAATTTTCTAACTGCAAACCTGGTTTCTCTATTTCATACAAATAAAAGGTCATAGTAGACAAAGTTGCTTTCCATTTCTTCAGATTGCATGCACAACAGCACTGTATCATTCTTAAATATGTCTCCAAATAATTTTATAATTTCATAATGCTTAAGCATGCTCTATAATATGATTTTTATTTAGCTGTTCTTCACATTTTCTTCTGGTACTCTTTCAATTTTCAAAAATGCTGGTGTGAGGCAGCTTATGTTTTCAATAATTGCAGCAAATCAGCTACAAGTTTTGTATGCTTTCAGGACTACAAGGACTCTACAAATTGACACACATCCCTGGCAAAGCAACCATTGTCAAAAGCAAGAGCAGAACCGTACACTTTCACTTTTTAAAATTCTCTTTACTCCATGTCTATTTTCTAGTCAAATACTTTAGATTTTTCACGATGCCTTACTCTCTTATTATAGATTTCTCTTTTCTAAGGCTCATGATAGCATCTTTAGAAAGTTGGCCAGCAGATAATGTGACTGACACAGGTATTTGACCGAATGAAGGACAAACAGTAATGTATATCTTAACACTTCTCTTGGTGAGTTGTACCAGAGAAGGATAGAGAGGTCATGTAAACACAGCCTAGGCTGTATAATTCCTTCTCTTCTGTAAACTTTCTTGTATCTCTGATTCCCAGTGTGGATAGAGCTTCAGTTCAAACAGGATTTACCACTGTAGTTGTGTATTATATTACCACTAATGCTACTAGTCCATGAAAAGAATATTACTCCAATTCCGAAGAATCCTTGAGAAAAATGACATTTCAGTCCTTTATCCTTGGATTCCAGGGGAACTATTTGACTAAAATTCTTGTGATCAAGAAGCTTACAAGACAGTCCTAAACCAGGCCCAGTGAGTGAGTGGGAGAGTTTCTGGATACCCTGCGCCTGCAAGGCCTACCGGTCCAAGCCCAGGCACAGCATGGGTGAGACCCCATTCCACTCCATTGGGAAGTCATCCACTACTCTGCAGCACCTCCCACACCCAGCCTGCCTAGTAGGAATTTCTGCTCCATTCCAGAAATCCCCAGAACCAGTCCTAGGCCAGGCCCAGTGAGTGGGTGAGAAAGCATCCAGCTACCCTGCGCTGGGGGACCTAACGGTCCCAGCCTAGGTGCAGTGGAGGTGAGACTCTCTTCCACCCCTTTAGGACGCTCCCCACAACTCTGCAGCACATACCCCACCCCGCCCACCAAGTAGGAATTACTGCTGAATCCGGGAACCCCCAGATCCAGTCCTAGTCCAGGCCTGGTGGGTGTGTGGGAGAACTTCTGAACATCCTGCACAAGAGGGACCTACCGGTCCCAGGCCAGGAACAGCATGGTTGAGACCCTCTTTTACCCCCTTGGGACAGCCCCACCACTCCTTGGTACACCCCCATCCCACCCACCGAGTAGGAATTTCTGTTGAAATCCAGGAACCCCCAGATCCAGTTCTAGCCCAGGCCCAGTGAGTGTGTGGGAGAGCTGCCTCTCCCTCCTACTCCACTTAGTCCCTCCAGACTCAGCTCAAGTCTGGCATACAGGCCTGAGGTGAAACCCTGCAGCTGCAATCCCTGCAAATAGTGTAGGGGACAGAACCACTAGCTAGCCCATGAGCAGAACATCTTGCCAGAGGGGCACAGCTGGTTCACCCCCAAGGGCAGCAACAGGAAGGAGCTGAGCATAGCAGCCAGACCAAAGCCAGGCACAACTGGATAAATCCAAACACTGTAGATCAGCACCTGAACTTCAGTATGTACTAAGGATATAATTGCAACAAAGATCTACAACAAAGGTCAGAAGACAGTGCTACACAAAATGACAATGAGAAGGAGCAAAATGTAATCTCACAACCCAAAACCACCCATAAAAAGTTCAGAGGACACTAACACAGAAAATATTTGGAATCACACACTTGAAATAAATGAAGCAATGGCTTCTGAAATAAAGAAAGCTGTAGAAAGGTATAGAGGAACTCAGATTTCAAAAGAAAAAAGAAATTCTTGAATTAATAACGTCTGCAGTAAAGAATCAAATGCAGAAACATATGATTGAGACCAATGCTGACACAGAACAAGTGCAGAGGACACTAGTTCAACTCAAATGAGTGAATTACTAGTGTTGATAGTAAATAAGCAACAGCAGAAAGTCATAGAGGAACTCAGAGCAGAATTCTTTTCCACTAGCTCAGCTCAAATGAAACAAATAAAAGCGTGGATAGTAAATAAGCAAGAGCAGAAAGTTATAGAGGAACTCAGAGTGGAATTTTCTGAAATAAGAAAAGAATTCTCTGAACTCATAGCATCTGAAGTAAAGAATCAACTACAGAAACATAGGGAGGAAACACAATCTGAAAAAAACACTGTAGTAAAATAATAACCACTTCTAAAGAAGACATTGATAAAAAAAAAGAGATTAGAAAAATGACGGATTCCTTGAATGAGCAATAAAGGAAAGAAATAGATTATGTGAAGCAGAGTCAAAGAGATATAGAGAAGAGCGGAGCTGACTGAAGTGGCGCCATGCAGGTCACCCTGAAGACCCTCCAGCAGCAGACTTTCAAGATCGACATCGACCTGGAGGAGACGGTGAAAGCACTGAAAGAGAAGATTGAATCTGAAAAAGGGAAAGATGCCTTCCCAGTAGCAGGTCAAAAATTAATTTATGCAGGTAAAATCCTCAATATGGCTCTCAAAGAATATAAAATCGATGAGAAAAACTTTGTGGTGGTTATGGTGACAAAACCCACAGCAGTGACCACACCAGCACCAGCTACAATGCAGCAATCGAGCCCTGCCAGCACCACCACTGTTAGTTCCTCCACAGCAACAGCTGTGGCTCAGGCACCAACCCCTGCCCCTGCTTTGGCTCCCACAACCACATCTGCGTCCATCACTCCAGCAGTGACAACGGCATCTTCTGAACCTGTGCCTGCTAGTGCAGCTCAGCAGGAGAAGCCTGCAGAAAAGCCAGCAGAGACACCACCAGCTAGCAGCCCTACATCAACTGACAATACGTTAGGAGATTCTTCTGGGTCAAACCTTTTTGAAGATGCAACAAGTGCACTTGTGACAGGTCAGTCTTACGAGAATATGGTAACTGAGATCATGTCTATGGGCTATGAACGAGAGCAAGTAATTGCAGCCCTGAGAGCCAGTTTCAACAGCCCTGACAGAACAGTAGAATATCTTTTAATGGGAATCCCTGGAGATAGAGAAAGTCAGGCTGTGGTTGACCCTTCTCAAGCAGCTAGTGCTGGGACACCTCAGGCCACTGAAGTGGCTGCAGCTGCAGCGACTACAACAGCAGCTATGACAACCACAAGTTCTGGAGGACATCCCCTTGAGTTTTTACGGAACCAGCCTCAGTTTCAACAGATGAGACAAATTATCCAACAGAATCCTTCCCTGCTTCCATCATTGCTACAACAGATAGGTCGAGAGAATCCTCAGTTGCTGCAGCAAATTAGCCAACACCAGGAGCATTTTATTCAGATGTTGAACGAACCAGTTCAGGAAGCTGGTGGTCAAGGAGGAGGTGGTGGAGGTGGCAGCGGAGGAATTGCAGAAGCAGGAAGTGGGCACATGAACTACATCCAAGTAACGCCTCAGGAAAAGGAAGCTATAGAAAGGTTAAAGTCATTAGGATTTCCTGAAGGACTTGTGATACAAGCATATTTTGCTTGTGAGAAGAATGAGAATTTGGCTGCCAATTTCCTTCTACAGCAAAACTTTGATGAAGATTTAAAGGGACTTTTTTGTATATCACACTTCACACCAGTGCATTACACTAACTTTGTTCACTGGATTGTCTGGGACGACTTGGGTTCATATCCACAGTACTTGGTATATGATAGTAGATTGTTGGGGTGGGGTGGGCGGGATCTAGGATACAGGGCAGGGATAAATTACAGTGCATGTCTGCTTCAATTAGCAGATGCTGCAAATCCACACAGTGTGTAAAATATACAACCAAAAATCAGCTTTTACAGGTCTTTATTTCTTCTGTAAAACA